TGGTTGTTTCTCATTATTATCAACTCTGCAAGTAAAACCAAATTTTAAATAATCCTCCTGGTACTGAAGCACTTTAGTTATTGGTTTCCTGTTCAGTTTACCAACAGAAGCCTGTAGAAAGAGAAACTGAGGAAATGCTTGATCCAGCTACAGAGTCACCAGTTTGTTCACCATAATTCAAAGATTTTTTCTGTTTGTTTACTTCTTAGCCATCACTCAAAGAAAAATAACATCTTATTCTGTCAACACATAATATTCACTTATCTGTGTGTGACAAAATAGTAAATGGTTACTAATGTCCAACTCTTCAAACTAACAAGCTGACAAATGTTTAACAAAGATATTCCGATATCTCAGCCATTCAATCTACAGTCATGTTGTTTTTTACATGGAATGTAACCATACAGGCTTCATTCCCATATCATTGTTTTATAGAAATATATGATAATTAGGGCTTCTGGTTTATTGTACCTAATGCATCTCTGCACTCTCATTAAGAGAAGGGTATTGCTGTTTGGATGTTTAAATGCTTCTAATAAAATTAAACATTCAAACATTGCATTTATAATGTGTAAACAGTGTATATGTCTGTTTTGTGCTGAAATAATCAAATCTCTTCTTTAGCAAGCAGCAAGGGTAACAGATGCACAAAGATAAAACAATAAATGTAATGGAGATTTAATTAGGTAACTGGGGAGAATGGGATATTAATTAACTCTTTCAGCACGAGCTCAGTCAATTTGACCAACCATGTGACCTCTTTGTACTCATTCAAAATCTTATAGATTTGATACTACTAATGTTTAATATAGTGTGTATATCTTCACAAAATTAGGCAGTCTTTCAGTAAGCATTATGTCTTTCACATACAAAAAATCATATTTTGTAGTGAAATATATTTAATAAACTAAAAATAGATTTTTCCTTGAATATATCGAGTATTTGTTTTGAATAGTTCATTTGCAAAGTGATTTTGATGTTAAGATTAAAAATACTTTTTTCATCCCAAAAATCTCAAATTTCATTTGTGTAATCTCTAAAACCTCTTAAATACATTTCAAATGTTTGTTTTCAGTAAAACTTCATGTTGTATCTGTAATTTTCTTTACCCTAACTCTATACAAGGTTGGTCAATTTGACTGACCTTGTAACCATGAAAAGAAAATCAAACAAATCTAAATTACCCTCTTTTTCCTTCTAGAATGGCTTCAAATGTAGCATGAAACTACATTAATTTATCCTAAGTAGCTTTAAACTTGTAACAGTATACATCTAATAATAATTCAATTTTATTGTTTTCCTCCCCTTTTGATTACCCTTTGAACTGTGTCTAACTACTATTCATGCCATTATAAGTTATAAATCACTTGGGGAACATACAGTTCACATTACGCTATTGAATTCCATTTCCCATGAGCTACTCCGAGCTGCTTGTACGTATGCCTCATGAAATATTTTTATTATATTATTATTATTGTTTATTTTACCTAATCTAGCCTAAAGATATCCCTATTTTTTACATTTTAGTTACTTTTATAATAATAAATAAAGAATAAACATTAAAATAAAGTACTTACCCAATCTTCTTTTTTCTTGCTGTTGATTGTTGATGACACTTAACCCTACTTTTTTATACTAATGGTAGTAATACACTAAATAATTTTTACTTAATTAAATAAGGTACCAAAGAACATAGACTAATAAGATGCAAAAGTAGACAATTTCCCTTAACTCTCAAAAATTTTCTGGCTTTCTAACTATGTGACAGGAGCTGTTACAAATTCATCCAAGCCGGTCATTGACTTTCCCATGGGAATGATGTTGCTACTCTGAGTGAAATTGACTTTTAACTGTTTCGAACACAATATTATACAATACGTCATTTAATAGTTGAAAATCTTGACTTTCTATAGGTTATAGGTAATGTATAATGAAACATTATAGTACAGTACAGTGTGTTAATTTCAGATTGGTTGATTTTCAGAAGGAGGCAAAAAGTCAAACAATTGCATGATAAGATGTATCAGGCCATGCAAGATAAAGCTAAATGAGGAAGCTGAAAAGCTTGAGAGAAGTTCTTTTATAAAGTTTGGGCACAGTTTTATAGGTACTCTGAACTAATAAGGAAAAAAGAACAATTGTGGAAGGTGTTCATCCACATTCATAGGGAATGAGACTGCTAGAAAAGCAAATTACCACATGGTTTTGCTAGGAAAAGCAAAAAATAATTAGGACACTATAACCCCAAAGGTCATTGGTAGCATCACTAAAGGAAATTTTTTCCACATCCTGTGGGGCAGCCAACCTCCACATAGGGGTCAGCTCCTATTAGTGCATCCCCTGACATTATCACCTAGTGCTCTACCCAGCCTGAGGTAATGCAGCTTCTTTTAATAGACCTCAGTGGATACTGAAACCATTTCTTGATCCCAAGCAATGTGAAAAAGCAACTGGATTCAGCAGTGCTGGTTGGTGAGCACCTTAGAGTCACATAAGGATTACTCCAGTTATTTTCAGGATATCCAAATGTCATCATAGCACACAGAGAGGTCTGATGGTCATTTTCTCTCACAAGCTCAAGGTAACAGCTCTGGAATGCCCTGATCCAAAGGCCTGATTAAAAATGTAAATATGATCCTTTGCACCTGTAGTAAAAGGACTACATTTAAGAGGGGAATTCTTCTAGAACGTGCCACATTCTCAGGTCTTGTTTTTTCCTTAGTTGTTGTTTTCTCCTTTCTGCTATAGTCCTTTATTTTCTTGTAAAAGAACTTTTCATCTCAACAAAATACAGACTCAACACTGTTAAAAGAGTACAAATGGAAAAACAGAGAAGAAAATTTGTCTTAAATTCCACAACATACCCTTGGTCACTGCACTAAAATTGTAACTTAATAGCTATGTCTTTAGTATTACTAGTTACACTTTGCCTTCAAGTAATAAATTAAATATCATAGTAATAAAAATCTTGTAAATCATTATTTCAGGTGACAGTTTTGTTCTGGAAATGCTTTCCAAAGATGCTTTTATAATACAACTAAAAACATCTGCAATCTCTCAAAATGTTTTCCTTCAGAAAAGAGAACACTTCCTTACTTTGCCCACCCAGCTTTTGGTTGTTAGGACTTATACCACATTTAATCTCATTTGCTAATTTTTCCAATGAGTGTGACCACTGTCTAGCTGAATTAATTGTTAAGTGTGTTACCAAAATACATCTGTATTATTCTAAAAAATATTCCCTAGATATTGTAATTTATGCTGTATTTGTAATGTTATGTATCATGGGAAGACAGGGAAAAAGTTAGACGTCAGTTTTTGACCACCCTGTCATATTCGTGAACATACACACACATATATATATATATATATATATAATGTTTTGTAATGTTTCAACTGAAAATATAATTGTTATAAAGCAAGAGTCAAAAGTAGATCTAAATATAAGAACTATTGTTTATTCAAAGTTTTAAGCCTTATTTTGGTGAAGAATCACTTTGGTAAAAAGTGTGGCCCACAGGAAGCAGAAATCTGGAATATTTTGGAATGAAATATAGGAATCTGTAAGGCTTGATATAAGGAGTTTTTTTACCATAGATATTTTTATGGATATAGTTATCATAGTAGTTTTCTATCTCCCAAAAGTCAACCAATTTCACTGCTTTGATCATGGCTGTCCACATTTTCCAATGATTCTGTGATCATATTTGGTCTGTACGTAAATGTGCTTCTCTTCAGCTGTTTGGCATTTTTATTAGGCCCAATGAATATTCTTCTCTTGCTTCTTTTATTTTCTACTTTCTCTGCAATGGTATCCTATCATGATTGCATCCACATTTGCTACATTGGTAGTACATTGAACATTTTGCTACCATATACTTGCAGGTAAGTTTTGAATCAGATGCCTCTGACATCTTGTGTCTGAGATATGTGTAATCTTGACAGAAAGACTGGTGGTTGACCTTACATACCTGATGATTACTGGCTTTGTAAGAATCTCTGTAGATATTGTATTATAATAACATCATGACCTTAGACAAAATTTACTAAAATATTTCTCCATCTACCAAAAAAAAAATCATTATATCTCCTCCAGTTCTTTTCAGTTTTTTAGTTAATGAACACTTTTGGATTATGTAAAATTTGCAAGAGAGTTGAGAAAATACCAGATGCGTATTTACCAGAAGTAGAATACCATACATTATCTAGTTAACTCAGAGATTTGTTGTTATGAACATTCAGGAACATCTTTGTATTGCTTAAAAACAATCTGTGTGTATACCTTCATAATGTGAGGTGACTATGTTTATGAAATTATACTAGATAATTTCAAGTGAATGCTGATATGGTGTTGTTTAAATGTTATTGACATTTTGAACATTTCCAGTTTTTAGTTCAGATAAAGCTTATTGTTTTAATTCAGTTTGCTGTGCTTTGCACATATATATGAACAATAAATATTTTAATGATTATACTGATGTACATCTATTGAATTGATGAAAAATGTTAAGGATATTACGCAGGCTGATAAAATCACTGAAAGATAGCTTAACAGGTTCATTGCATTAAGTTCTAAAACTTAGATTCTAATGTCACTGGATTTTTTGTAATATTTGGGTTTCTACTGAACTGGCTAACAAAAATAAGATTAAAATTTCTAATGCTTACTGATTAAACCAACAGAATGTCATTCCAGAATCATTATGATGTACTTAGATTTTCTATAGTGTATGCTTCTTAAGAATGAATTAAAAGTGAACAGGTAAAGCAAAGTGATTTAAATCTTTTAATAACTGTAGATTTATGTGTTATTCATTTAAGATTAAGAGAAACTGATTTGTAAAGCCTGGCCACTTGTTAATTCAGAATGTTTAACATAAATTTTATAACTAGAACTTGTTCAAAATATCAATTTCAACAAATAATGTAGTAATATCTCTGCATAAAATAACTATTGGTAAATGAATATTCTTATGTAAGATGATGTGTTGTGTGTCTAGGTGCAGCAGAGAATCTCGAGAATACACTGTCAGCCTTTGAAAAGTAAGTGTTAAACCTTATTAATTAAATTTTCAGTAATAAGTATATTTTGTTTTATTATGTTTGGATTTTTGCTTGAGAGAAAGTGTTTAATATGTTGTGATCACCTGGTAATGGACAGTATACTTTTACATTTTAGGGCAGCTGTTCACTTGTATCATCCTGTAAAACAGGGTTAGTTAAGGGCTATTCACGGCCCTGCTGAGGAAGAGATATATTCAGTTAAGAGTATACAAAAAATTTATTGAAAGATTTTTTATTTTTACATATGATTGTTTGAAAAGTGTCATCAGGTCACTAGCAAGAAAGCAAATAAAATAGGAATGAAGGAAAGACCTGGAAGAACTGGAGGTTGTTCTAATGTTTTTACTTTGTGTCACATTAGTTTAGTGAGTATATCATTTAGTGCATATACAAGCACTTTCTAGGAATGAAACTGTAGGAAATTATATATGCAGCACAGTGAAGTACACAACTATTCCTCTAGTGGTCAGGTTTGAGGTTTATACACATAATTTTAGTTTGTGAAACTGTTCCTATGATATCTGTATTTTTAATGGTTTATAATATTTAAATAAGGTCCACAAATACAAACATCTTCAATATTTTTTCTTCTTTTTTTGCACATGCTTTCACAGCTTTAGATGTTGAAATACCAATATGATTCATGTTCAACTCGTCAAATTTGTACTCTTAGGTATTTATACATTGCAGACAGTGTTTAGTAATTCAGCTTGATTATTCTAGAACTGCAGTTAAGCAACTTAATAAAAAATAATAATACAATAAATCAAATTTTTTTAAATTTCAAATGTAGTTTTTGTAATTAAAAAAGGCTAATTTCAAGACTTCATTTATACCTGTCAAATAACTCAACAGGAATTGCCATTTTTAATGGCAATATGTTGTGATGATAATTGTAAATTGCATGTGTTGAAAGTCTTTTCTTTTGATAATGTTACTTGTTTAGAACAAGTTTCATTACTTAACTGAATTACTATAGAAATAATTTCATATCACAATAAAAATTTAGATTATAAATAGTACATCTGATACAAAAATCAAAACACACTTTCATACTTTTTTGAATTGTTTACATTCTAACCAATATCAATTTTGCATTCTAAGTGTAATTTGATATAAAGCTGTGCTAATTCATGATCATCCCTATGCATAGTTACCTGATTCCCATAAAAACAATGCTTTGAGGATTTAGCATGTGGAAAATAAAAGTGAGGTGATATGTTGCAAGTGAATTGAAAGAGACAATCTCAGTGTGAAGCACTTTTCCAGTTTGTCTACATATACTGTTATTAACTGCTATTTTAGGTTGACTTTTTTTCCCACCTTTCCACCCATGTTCCAACAATATTAGTGATGTTGTGAAGTTCAAGCAAAAATAATTTTATTATTAAATGAAGAAGAAATGAAAACAAAGGTATTATTTCTGAAGTAAAGGAGTATTTATTATGATGAAGTTAAAGAAGAAAAGTGTAATAAACAGTATTTTAAAGATTAAGTAAAGATAACTCACCTGAATTGAAGATATAACAAATAAAAGATTAATACCCAGAGGAAACTTCACCAGTAAATTATTGATTCCCTCAGTATAGAAACAATTTTTCCCTCCTGAAATTGTATAATGAATCTCTCTTGCACATGCTGAAACTGCATCACAAAGCACTTTCTGTCTTTATGTTGTCAATCAGAAAACAGGCACTGAAATGTGAATGTATCTCTGCTCCGTGTGATAATTGCAAAGTTATCCATCATATATAGATTAGAATGTTAAGAGTTAAACCATGTTAATGTTAAGAGTTAAACAATGACGGAGACAGATTTTTAGAAACCATTGAGGATTTTTTTCTTCACCAATTGGTTAGGGAACTTACTAGTAACAATGCTCTTTGTTATTGTAAACTTCTAATAAAGAAGTGGTTGACATTGTATATATTGGGGAACATCTGAGTGCAAGTGATCATTGCTTGATTTGGTGTGATGTTTTACTGCATATGGAGATTTGGAATATGAGATTTTGGTACAAATTTTAAAAAGCAACTTTTGAAAGGGATGCAACAAGAATTATCTGTTGTGACTTGGACAACTGAACTAATTGGAAATACTGATGAAATGTGGAAAAATTTAAAACTGAATTTTTAAATATTGAAGATAGACATGTTCCTTATAGAGAAAAAATGGTAGCTACAATTTCAAAAACAGGTTGGCTCACAAAAAAGTTGTAAGAGATAAAGTTAAAGAAACTCATTATAAATTCAAGAAGTTTAAATTGACTAGTATAGTAGGAGACTTAGAGGATTACACAAGACCAAGAGAGTTGGTCAAAGAAATTAGGAAATGAAAAAATATATGAAAAAAAGGTTGGATGAAAATGTAAAAATGAAAGTAAGGATTTCTTTAAATACATTAAGTGTAAGCAAAATGTTAGTATGGGAGTAGGGCCCTTGAGGGACGATAAAGGAAGGCTGGAATGGGTGCATTATTAAATTCTAATTTTTCTTCAATTTCTGCTAATGAGGAGTTAAGCAGTATTCCTCACCTTGAAAGGTTACTAGATAGAATCAAGATCTAATAAGATCATAACATTAATTGTGAGTTTGTTAAGAAAAAACTGGAAACTTTTAAGAATGATAAGTCTCTTTTGCCAGATAATACTTCCCCAAGTGTTTCAAAGTAGGTTATGGATTGAATATGTGAGCCACTTGTTACCATTTTTGTAAGACCTTAAATAATGGTTATGTGCTAGAGGATTGGAAGTTAGCTAACATTACTCCTTTTTTCAAGGTAAGTGATAAAAATTATCTTAGTAATTATAGACTTATTAGTCTTACATCAGTTGTGGGAAAAGTTTTGTAAGGTGTGTTAAAAGATGCATTGCAAAGTCATTTAACAAAGTTTAGAATTTTATTGAATAGTCAACATGCTTTAACTAAAGGAAAATCCTGCCTTACAAATCTTTTGACATTCTTTGAAAAAGGTTACTGCTTATGTAGATGAGGGTAAGGATGTAGTTTTGGTGTATCTGGATTTTCAGAAAGCATTCAAGAAGGTGCCATAAAAGGCTTGTAAAAAAAGTTATCTCTGTAGGTGTGGGGGATAAGTTAGCTAATTGGATAGAAGAGTAGCTGGATAGAAGAAAGTAGAGAGATGATATAAATGGAGTGAAATTCTTGCCTTACTTATGTTTTGTGTTTTGACATCCTTTGAAGAGGTTACTGCTTATTTAGATGAGGGTAAGGGTGTATATTTGGTATATCTGGATTTTTAGAAAGCATTCAACAATGTGTCACATAAAAGGCTTGTAAAAAATAAAAGTATCTATATAAGTGTGGGGGATAAGTTAGCTGATTGGATAGAAGAATGGCTGGATGGAAGAAAGCAGAGGGTTGTTATTAATGGAGTTAGTCAAACCAAATTAATATTACAAGTAAGATACCTCATGGCTTGGTGTTAGGACCTTTAACCTTTTTGATGTACATCAATGACACAGATGAAGGAATAGCTAGTAATTTACTTAAAGTTGCTGATTTAGATTACTTGGTGAGTTGGGCAAATAAATGGCAGATGGCTTTTAATTTTAATAAATGCAATGTAATGCATGTAGTTTATCATAATTGGAATATAAGTATAATTTTGATGGGAATAAACCTTAACAATATTATTAAAGAAAAGGATCTTAGTGGTGTTTTTGATCAGTCTCTTAAACCACTCAAGCATTGTGCTATTAACTGCCTTTTTATAGTTCTCAAGATGGGAGATTGGTGCCCTGTCATAGATTTCTCATCCTTGAACCAATTTTATCATTCCTCAGCTCAAGATGGTCAGTTTTCTTTATCTGAAATGGGTGTTCTCTTTCAGACTATGGATAACCAAAATTGATGTTTGTATGCTTTTATACATAAAGTGATTTGCACATCTGCCAATAACTTTCTCTGGTTCATTCACAATGACTGGATTTTTCAGTTCTTGGCCCTTTCCTTTTAATTAACTATGACCTCATATGCTTTTAGTCAAGTTATGAGAGGATTCATTTATTATATTCCATTCCCACTACTATATAGATAACTAGCTCCTTCCTGTTCCAACCAAAGAAACAACCATGGCTGTGATCTCCATTCTCCTTTGGAATACACCTCATTTGGGTTGGCTGGTCAAGTTCTACAAGTCTGTGTACTCAGTACCTGTTTCACTTAGGAGTCTTTTTCAATTCATTTGCAGGGCAGACTCAACTACCTAATTTACATTTTTGAAACATGGAGCTTTTGGTTACCAACATTTCCATGTCTCTTCCTGCACAAGAGGTTCTATTTCTTTAGGTTCCCCTCTAATGCACTAATATGCATATATATATGCATATATATATATATATATATATACCCTTCAATGGAACCTGAAAAATTAATGGAATGTATTCAGATTCCCAGTTGTCTCTTTTATCTCTTCCTCCATCTGTTTACCTCTTGCTGTCATGGTGGCTTGATCAGTCTCACTGGGCATCCCTTTTTTTTCCTCCACCTTGCCTGGATCTACATCTGTATATCAACACCTCTCTTTTTCCAGGTTGGAGCAGTTTTGGACACCTACATCTTTTCTGGAATATGGTAACCAGGGGATTAGTCTCTTTATACCAACAATTTATAATTTTTGGTTGCTCATGAGGTTGCTGTCATCTTCATTTTCATCTGTCTGGTCTATTCAGACAACTCCACTGTTGTATTTTACACCAACTGACAGCGAGACACTACCTTTTGGGATTTCAGCTTTTTGTTTCTGAATATTTGTGGGGGGCCCATGTCCACCTCATTTGGTTGTCAGTCTGTCATGCCCCAACAGTGGGAATTTTGAATCTAATGGCAGATTGGCTGTGTTGCTTGGATTGGATCTTTTCTATGGAATGATCTTTTTCTCATCTAGTGTTTCTGTTGATTTGTTCCCACTTTTGGAATCCCTTCATTGATGACATTGTGACTCCCCTCAGTATCAAG